ATGCTATCATAGCTATCTAAAGATCTTGCAGCTATTTAAACTTGCTACAACTATTTAAAGATTTGCACAGCTATTTAATGATTTGCATGGCTATTTAATTCTATCGTAGCTATCTAATGATCTTGCAGCTATTTAAACTTGCGATAGCTATTTAAAGATTTGTATAGCTATTTAATGCTATCATAGCTATCTAACGATCTTGTAGCTATTTTGAAGTTGCTATAGCTATTTAATTATTTGCATAGCAATTTAATCATTTACTTGCCTATTTAATCTTATGATATCTATCTAAAGATCTTGTAGCTATTTAAAGTTGCTATAGCTATCTAAGGATTTACATAGCTATTTAATCCTATCATAGCTTTCTAAAGATTTTGTAGCTATTTAATGAGTTGCATAGCAATTTAATTATTCATTTGCCTATTTTATCCTATCATTGTTATCTAAATATCTTGCAACTATTTAAAATCGCGATAGAAAAGAAAAAAACCTAAATCAGCGTCTGCGATTTCTAACAATAAAAAATACTGACAATTATATGTTTATTCTTATAAGCATCAAAAAGAATACTACGTTATCATCACTAGTAGATATTTTGCTCAAATATTCATCCTACCTTGCTGATTCTTCAGAACAGGGTTTGTTTAGTTGATATGAGGATGAATTCGTTTTTTCCTTATTTCATCTTTTTATCATCTAATATGTTTTACTGTAATGAAAAAAAAGCAAAATAAACCACGAGCAGAGGTTTGTTTGGTTGAGTGAGAATGAATTCATTTTTTTATGCAATCTTTCTATCATTTAATATCTTTTACTTTGAAAAAAATAAACTACGATCAGAGGTTTGTGTTTGGTTGATAACAGGATGGATTCTTTCTTATTATTTCATCTTTTTATCATCTAATATCTTTTACTTCAAAAAAAAAAAAAAATGAATCACGAGCAGAGGGTTGTTCGGTTGATGTGAGGATGAATTCGTTTTTTTTATTTTTTCTTTTTATCATCTAATATCTTTTATTTCGAAAAAAAACAAAATAAACCACGAGCAGGGGGTTGCTTAGTTGATGTGAGGATGAATTCAAAAAAACCAGAACGCAAAACAATGAGCCACGCAGCTATTTA